AAATGTTTGTTCACGTTCGCGCCTGCCAAATTTTACAGCTAACGGTCAACCTCCACCCGTCCTCACTTGTTGACCATATTATCGCATTATCATACATTTAAGGTCCTGACAATCATATTTTGTTTATGCAGTGCTCTGGAACCTTCTTCACTTACGCTTGCTATATATCCATTGCTGGTGTCTTATGAAACGCCAGATAAACAAGCATTTCCTCGCCATTCACTGAGCCGTGCTGCATTACTAACGAGTGGTAGCCCAATATTTTTCCTTGATGCCTTCACAACTCTTGTTGTGTTCTATTCATCTACAGCTGACTCTGCACTTCCTTTTCCTCCACCTCAGGATTGTAAGTTTGCCTTCTCTCTATGGATTAATTGTGAATACGACCCACAAGGTTCTGCATTGTTACAGAAATACCCAATTTAACTTCCTAAATAACAAAATTCCCAATTGAGGGAGATTATTTGTCCGCCTGTATATTTTAAACACCTGCAAGAATATAATTGAATATTTTACAATAGGCAAACCTTGAGTGTAATTTGGTAGTTGTATCTCCCCATTCCTCCAATTGGAATAATAGGGACCTTTTGTTGTGCTTACTTAGAAGTGATTTAGGGCATGCTTGTTTATTAAATAATTTGCTCACACTTATTTCATACTCAAAATCTAGCTCAACTTTAACTCAATCCCACTATCGTTAATATTATTTATATAATTAAATAATATAAACCAATCATTCTTACACATCACATCAATTTTAATTCACTATTCATCCACTTACATAATTTTAGCTACCTATCATTTCCAATCATTACTAATCATTTATCTCCTACTTTTATATCAAATCAATAATAATTATTTTATTTTAAATATTGTTTTAATACATTCTTAAAATCCCACAAACAACTAATCATATCACCTTTTTCAAAATTAACTCTGATTAACCAAAAAAAACTATTTTTGAATGGATTATTTGATAAACAAGCGAGCCCTCAATATTTCTCTTCCTAACCCAGGTTTCTTGAGAAGCACTATCAACAAACTGAAGCAAGAGAGGAGCATTACCCCTAAACTCATATTTATTAGGGGAGGGCAAGATGATGCAACTGTGTTCGAGAACTACTTAATAGAGGAGCAGGATGTCGAAGGGAGTGGTGTCACGAGCGTCATGGGTTTCGTCTCGTTTTTGGACGAGATTAATCGTGATGTGGTCGAGTACATGAGTAAATTGAACGGCGATATACGTAGATAGAGGTGAAAGAAATTAGTTATACATGCATTATGAAGTTGTTCTGTTTAAATTGGATTGTGGATACAAAGAGTGATGAGTTTTGGCCGGAAAATTAAAGCAAGGCGTTGGTTTTGGTTGACTATCAGGCGATACTCCATTTGAAACGGCCTTTTGCAGAGTGGGAAATGCAGTTTGGGTCCGTATGAGGGTGCAAATAGCCGGATACTTTGCAGGATCTGTATTACTATTAACCATACTTGATGCAACTTTAGCGTTAGATAAGATGGGCGTAGGATGCTTTATTTTCACTTTTAAGGCTTTGAAGATCCAATGTTCGACCTTTCTGTTTTGATCCTTTTAAATTTTAATAATTTGTACCTGTAGTTTGTATAATCAAGATGTATTCATAGGAATCTATCTCTCTGGTTACAGTTGGCTAGTGGAGGGGAATCTAAACATCTAATAAACTGCGAGTTAGATATTTCGAACATTGATTTACGCACCCCTCTGCGCTTGTCGCTGAGCATTTATATTCTTATAGCTTAGCTACGCTACCACAATAATATTAAATCTAAAATATCTTCTGAAGTTTGCGTTGGCTTTTGGCCACTAGTTTTATGTCATTTTACAATTTTTATATTATTTTTTATACCTTTTCTGTCATGTATATTATCAATGGCAATCTAGTTGATAGGTGATTGTTTTAGTAGCCGATTTGTTAATATTTCTAACTTATACTTATTTTTTTTTACCATATAACAAACTTTTTTACTACTGATAACTTCTTTG